GTTCACTTGAGAGATGTTACCTGTCCACGCCTGCATTGTCGGTTTATTTAAATCCGTTTTCAAAATTGTAAGTTAATTAAAGATAACGATTGTTTTATTGTAAATAGTAATTGAAATGTGTATTTCTGTCCAATCTTTGCTGGGTATGGCCTAGGGTACACATCTTTCAAAATTTGTTTTGGTGCTTACCTATGTTCCATTCATACACACATGCACAGATATCACTTGATACATTATTGTTATATCACAACGTTTCCTTGTTCTTTCTCTGTTTGTTTATTATTATTTCAATATATGTAAACACTCATATGACGTGGCATTTTGTTCATTGTCACGTCTCTCACGAACAGTTTAATGTTACAAGCATCACATCATATTGCCACAAACCAATACTCAGCCTTTATTTACGAATTATATTAACACGCAAATATAAGTTTTAGTTCGTAATGCAAGAAAAAACTGCTCTATTTTAATGCTATTGGAGTCCAGATCCCTTCGTTTATGAAAAGAGCGACTGATATTATAAACTGTAACGTAATATGTAGTTGCATTGCAGTAAAAAAATTACAAAACGACTGTAATGTATGAGGAGTTACGTATAGGTATGCGGCAAGGTAGCCTTTTGTTTGATGACGGGGGAAAACCTTCAAAAGGTGCTTAACTTTTAGAGGATAAAGGACTAGGGAGTGTAAGATTTTACCTCACTAAAACCACCCCGGTGGCAACTGTACCTAAGTGTAAGAGGCACCGGGTCCTCTTAACAAACCTACTTCGGCGCCCCCATAGTGCAACACTTGTTACGGTACATCACTTATAAAACATGATTATATTTGCTGAGAAAACTATATACCAAGAAGGCATTACTTAAAAAGTTAAAAACAATAGCTTTACCATCGTATTAAATTTTAAGTACAAAATATTACCTAAATTCTTATAACTGGTAAAAGGACTTAGGAGCAATTGACCAGCCACCCCCAAACTATCACTTAACTAAAAGTTACTTAATGTGACGTAGCACCTTAAACATACCCCTTACTTGCACAGATGTACTTTTAGGTGACACTTACAGATTAGTAAAAACTAAATGTAATTTAATGTCACATAGCTTAGGAGTTCCTTCAAATTTAGGAGAGTTTTTAGAAAACGACCGTTAGTGACATTACATTACATTACGTGGTGGCCCGAAGGTTTAAGAGACCTACCAACGGCAAGTACCAATGTGACTTTTTCCGAAATGTACTTTCTAAGATTATCTAGATACCACTGACAAACGGTGAAGGAAAACATCGTGAGTAAGCCTAGACTTATAATTTCTAATTATAAGTTTGAAATCGTCAACCCGCATTGAGCAAGCGTGGTGATTACCTAATGCTCAAACCTTCTCCGTGTGAGAACAGGCTTTGCTCAGCAGTGGGCATTTATAGGCTGTTGATGAGTGACATTATTAAAATGTAACCTTAATGTAACCTCCTTTGAGAAATTAAGATTGTGGTGCAGGAGACTTCCTGCAAGCCAAAGGGCCGAGTCGTTACGATCATAATATATGCATAATATATCATAATGGGACGACGTGCTCCATCGTCGCATCATGGCTTACCGCCAGACGAGAAAGTGGTCAAACGTCGTTGCCCCATTAAATAAATTTAAAAAAATAATAAATATACGCAGTAATAGGATGCAGCAAAAAAATTTAAATCCTAATTTTTCAAAATGCATTCAGATTTGAATTTTTCGTTCAATCGTAATACGTATTCAAATACCTACATATACGATGCAATGGGTTGCCTAACATCGCAAGTAATTGTATCATTACTGCTAACAAAATCTTGTGTAGATAGTAGTCTGTTATCTTATTTACTGATTACTACGCATAAGAATAAATATGAGTATGTACTTAATGAAACGAAAGTGCTAATTCATTCTGTAGTCGCCTTGACGCCATCTTTGTTTGTATGACGGTTGTCAAAATTGACAGGCTAACTGTCAAACGCGTATACACGTTGACTTTAAATTATAAATATCAACATATGATTTATTTATTTTGGTAATTTCTCCAAGTAATCAATTTATTATTGAAATGACACGTTTTGTAGGTAATTTAACATATACTGTCCTACTCCCTGAGGCTATAGACAACCGCAAGCTTTACTATCGGGGCTCCGACTCAAAGCAGGTGTTGGAACGGGGTGGTTTTTAGTGACTATGAGTTTTACACCCGGCCCCAATAAAAACTAACGTACCTATTAAATAATACCTTAGTTTAGTATATTGTATTTTTACTGAACTAAAATACTCGGAAATACCATTGTTTGCTCATGCACTGGTGCACAGTAAAATTAGCGATGTTGGTTAGTTTGTGCCGAAATTGCAAGACTCGACTACTGACTTTAAAAATCCAACGATAGATTGACCAAACAATATGGTTCGTTGCCCGGCCGCAGTTTGTACATATTTTCTTTTTTTTATTTAGATATTTCACAAAAGCAGTGAAATCGCGTAGTCTATTGAGATTGAAAAGTTTTAAGTTTAACCCACTTTTGTTGCATTTGTTTTTATTCCGATCTTTATGTAACACTTTGTTCTCTCGTGCGGTTTTGAGCTGTTATTCGGCTCCTATTGGTCATAACTTGGTGTTTTATAACCGCCCTAGATAAATGCAACATCCAATTAAAAATAAATACTGGATCGTATTGTGTACGATTTTGCATAAACAGTAGATAGTTATGTTATGTAGTTATATATTGTGATATGATGTTAGACATAACATGTTATGTTATGTAGTTCTCGAGATATGTCTTGGTGATGAAAATTAAAACCACGGTAGGCAAAATGTTATGTATATCATCTACTTGTGATTATGAACGAGGGCTACCTCGTTCCTTATTAGTAGCCATTGGTAAGCACGGGGCAACAACCTTACAATGAATTGCTGTCACTGTTGGTTTAATGACGAGTTTCATTTTCGAGTTTATCTTTTCACAATTATAGATTGCAGTACTGCAACAAAAGTCTGTTTTGTATAATATGGTTTCATAAATTCATCTCGTCACTTGTTCGTTATATCTTCTTAATATTTGACATCTTACCTATTACTTTATGTCTACACGGATACATAAACTCTTCTTCGTGTTTATCCCATGGTGCGGCAAAATACGATCTTTTAATACCTACCTGTATACTTTTTTTACTTACATAAGCTGCTAAAAGAACAGTCAATCTAAAATCTTTGAATTAAGATCGATTTTTGACATAAATTCTATTTTCTGTTCCCATCCAAAGCCCATAGCGATCCAGAGATGTCTGTGTGACATCTGACGAATGTGCCGCGAATGTGCAGATCGCGAGCCGTTTGCGAGCGGCGCGCGTGAAGTCATGGCAATGGTTTGGTGCACCTCTTCAGTGCAGCTTATTGGAGGCTCGGATCGCGAGCTGCGAATTCGCGGAACATTCGCCAGATGTAGACGCACCGTTATTAGAGATCGGTTATTTTGGATGTACCTAAACATATTCAGTTTCTAACCTTTTTAGTAGAACCTAACGGGTTACCGAGGCTCCGGCTCGAAGTGCAGGAGAAGGAACGGGGTGGTTTTTAGTAAGTAAGAGTCTGACACTCCCTCCCGCCTCACTCAGGCGGGAGCAGTCATTCGATGATTTCCCCCCCCTTAAAAAAAACCTTTTTTAGTATCATTCTAATGAGTTACTGATTTCGGAGACCAAAAAAAATATTTGGCTTTCTTGATTTTGAAATTCTAAGTTGCTTTGGTTAGAAACCTGGCTCGTCCGCCAATTACCTATTATATGGGACAAGGGACTCACTGGCTACTTTTTATTGGTTTGAGCTCATAACAACTGCAAAAATGGGTGTTACATGAAACGTGCACCTTGCCTGCCATAGAGGTCAAAAGGCGTGATTTTACGTATTTTATAGTTTAGATCTAGTTAATCGTAGTTGCCTTTATAAGATTAATTAAGTACCAATTATTTATTATTATTATTATACCATTGACGTATCAGCACTGCGAGCATGAATTTTTTTATAAACTTAGACGTCATTTCTGTTTCTGTTTGAAACGTCATATTTGACATTTCCTTTTTTTTATGAATGCAATGATTGTATTAAAATAATGCCAAGACCTGTTCTAAAACGTATCTAATAAAAAATTCAGGCTCGCGCTATTATTGTACCTTTTAAGCTTAATTACTTTGGTCTTTGCCTGTAGTATTAGATAGACTTTTCTATTGCACGTCATTCTTGCACGTTATTCATTAATTAGACTGTATTTTGTATTTTTTTTTTTTATAATCATACGCTTGTTATAGGTATACTGTTTTAATAAGGCTTTTGATACACGGCCAATGTATAAAATTAATTGAAGATTATTCAACATGAGAAATAACTTACGGCCGAAATTAAAACAGTTCTCAAACAGATTTTTGTTAAATATTATAGGTTTATTGAATTTCTACCAAAAATCTTGGAGATAAATATCGCCAAGGTTCCTCCAAGTCTCTTAATTTTGGCCGTTAGCTAGCTTTATGCAGGATAAAATTAAATCTATGGTCGTTTATAAAAAGTCTTATTTCATCTGTGACGTGACTGGACCTTTTTTTTATAACGAAGGTGTAGTTGTGTACTGTATTTAAATTTAGAACTCAGCATGACGTTTAGTTTGTGAAGAGTAATGATCATCACATTTGTTTGTATGTGTGCATGACTTAGCAACTGTCATAATGACGTCACTTTTGTCTCAAGTAAATGTGTGATGCAATTCATGAATTAATTGTTTTTCAAATTATTTCCATAGTTTAGGAGTCTATTCAAAAGAAACAAACAATCGATCAATTATAATATTTGTAGTTAGTAATAAAATGTCAAATTAATTTAGATCTTGAAGTATGACACGAAATAACAATGACCAGAGACAAAGATGACGTCATAATATATATGTTTTATTGTCTATGTCTATCATATTGTTTATGAGTTTGTTTTTTTTTTTCAGCTATATTCTGAGACAGCTAGGACATCCTGACTTAATTAAAAATGTAAGTAGAAACAAACTTTTTTGTGGATTTTCTATGGCAAAAAATCTTTCTCTAATGTTCGGACCGCTTCGGGCTCTTTAGGCTTTTCTCTTATGTCGTGGGTGCGTTTACAAACATACAAGTTCACATACACATGACACCCAGACCTGGAACAACAATCTGTTGATCACACAAAGAGTTGTTCCGTGCGGGAATCGAACCCGCGACACGGCGTGATGTTTTGTTATGTTTTTTTTTTTAGATGCCTGAGAATAAAGCTCTGTCGGGCTTGTGTTCCGGTATAACTGACGCGTACGATCTCTTCGGCGTACCAAGCGCGGTGATACTCTTCGTTGTCGAAGAGGTATCATACAATATTTGTGACCAAAGGTTCCATGAGTTCGAAATTGCTGAAAAGAGACCCGATATTATGGTAAGTTTAAAACTTACAATAGAGTAAACGGACCAGGGTGCTTACTCTTGAAACCAATCTCAATGTCAATGCAATTTCAATCCAATATAATCTCAATAATTTTTCAATGTCAAAACTATACAACCCCAATCGTAGCTGTTAAATTAGCATTCAGAGTACGGAATATAAAGCCAAACTTAATACCATTTAGTTCATTCAATCTCCTCGCAATGCGGATGCAATGGGCGCTAGTGTTGCAACTCAAGAGTACGAAATTTTACGATCGATCGGAATTGGATTCAAGAGTAAGCCCTCAGAATGGGGGTTACCGTGTTTTAATACTAGATACCGCTATTTTAACAGAAGTCAGTTTGTGCAATCACTGTCCAATTAGCTGTATGTATTTAATGACCAATGGTATATTATATATCATGATATGTAGTAATGTACGTGTGTATGTATGTATGTATATTAAATAATCAACTTTACTTTAATTTTGATCGATTACTTATGTTAAGGAATTTGTTTATATAAATAACTTGTCCTAGAATTTGTAATATTGTGAGAGTGCTCCTTTCGCCTGTGATACAGGATATTCTTCCTAGTACAGGCATTCAAACCTAGTGAGATCTCTGATTTTAAATTAAGATGTTTATCTGTACCATGACCAATTTCTTATAATGAATAAAGATTTATTTATTATTATTTATTTATTAACTAAAAATTGCGGGTTACTCAGTGAAAATACTGAGTGATACTGGAGATGTTGTGCAGCCTACTGACAGTGGGCGTAGCGACATCGCCGCAACCGCGCACGCTGCTCCTGAGTAAGAACCCCACTGTGGTTACAAACTAGCTTAGACCTTTTCTCAGTATTTTCATGTGTGTAACCCGCGATTTTTAAATCATTAATTTCAATTAGACCAGAGCCTTTAGCCAAACGCCACCTTAGCGCTTGTCTACAGAGAGAGTAGAAATCAAAATGTATGGGGATGACACTGACAAGTGTCAAAATTGACGTCAATTCCATATAATTTGGGTTTCTATTCTACATGTAGACAAGCGCTAAGTGGCATTTGGCTACAGCTGCTGGAAGGCACTTTTGATCGTCAACAACAAAAAATGTAGAAGTGAAGGTAGTTGCTCATTCTAAAGTGTAGATTCCTATGGAGAAGAACGAGCAAGAAACTCCATAGGTTACTCTTTTTCAATCGGGTTCACAATACAATTCTCTAGTTACATAGTTTTGTTGGTTCGATTGTGTGAGAACAATGCAACACCTAAATGCTTATTTAGCATGTCTCACGATAGTTATTATAAAAGCAGATCAACGGTATGATTCAAACTAATTCTTCATTGGACGAAAAGACAATAGGTTCACACTAGCTCCATCTGAAAATCAAACAAAATTTGGGGTTGTACACGACACAGATCAAGTAGCCGCGCTGTCTGATTTGTTGGAACATTTTATACTGCGAACGCCAACCCGCCGGCTAAGCGTGGAGATAGCTACCTCTGATGTAGTGTCCGTAGTCTTTTTTTAAGGGGGGAAAATCATCGAATGACTGCTCCCGTCTGAGTGAGGCGAAAGGGAGTGTCAGACTCTTACTGACTAAAAACCACCCCGTTCCTTCTCCTGCACGTCGAGCCGCAGCCCCGGTTACCCGTTAGGTTCTCCGCGAATGACTTTTTATGTAATTAACCGATTTGTTTTTTCCTACAGATTCATAGGAAAACGTTGAATGAGATTTTTGAAGAGACGACGTTGAATGACAAGAAACAACTTATTTTGTAAGTAACATAACATCACGCCTTTTATCCCCGAAGGGGTAGGCAGAGGTGCACATTATACCACTGTACAATGTAACACCCACTTTTCACTATTTATGTTATGAGTCCCATGTAATAGGGAGTGAGCCTATTGCCATATACCGAGCACAATTCCAGACTCCGTGCTAGTACTGAGAATATTTAAAAACCTTGCCCGACCCGGCAATCGAACCCGAGACCCCTTGCCCGGCATTCGCACTTGCGATCACTCGGCCAACGAGGCAGTCATTTTTTAAGTATCTAAGTATAAACTAACATTCACTGATGCTTTGTTCGCACTATGCTAGTATTTTAGTCGAGCAGTGAATGTTTAGTAAATTCCTCTCGATTCTGTCCAAAAATCGAAGCGAGAGAGAGAAGCGTAGTATTTTAGTCAAGTAGCGATACCAGACTAAAATACTAGCATAATACGAACAAGGCACTGACCGTTTCCCTAGTAATTAAGTCGAGTTAAATACAATAAAATATATTGACTCGACTTGAAGAATGTCGCGCAACGTATCTCCGTCGTAGAAATTATCGGTCCTTCGGGGCCCCCTTGAGGTTAAGGGGGCCCTGAACACAGGCCCCAAGATTTATGGTAAAGACGGCACTGATTGCAAGTTAAACAAAACCTTGCAATATATATAATAAATAATGTTTATGTTTTAGGGATGGTCGTCCAGTCGCCGTAGTGTACTACCGGTCCGGTTACGAGCCCGCCCAGTACCCGTCACAGAGGGAATGGGACGCGCGACTCAGAGTCGAAAGGTCCACGTAAGTATTGACAATCAAATAATTTTAAACTAGCTTCAGCCACCGGCTTTGCCAGCGTTCTAGTGGAATATAAAGTAAATTAACTAAAATAGTAATAATTTTATAATAATTTTTGTTGTTTCCTTTTTTTTTACTTTCATTTTATTTTATAGTTTAGTTGTAGTTAATTTTAAGTTGTAAATATTTAAGTAGTTATAAACAATGTAATACACGTTGAACTTAACTCGAAAAAAAAAACTAAAATAGCGGACTACTCACGTGAATGGACTGACAAAATCTCTACTAGTTTCGAACCACAGACGAGTTCTTTAGTAGAGTATTTCTTACTATTTTCGCGTGAATAACCCGCGATTTTAGTTAATTTGGTATGTCTCACGGTAGATATTATAAAAAGGATATAAAGTAGCCTATGTGTTTTTACATACCATGATCTACCCCTGTTCCAAATTTCATCACGATCCCTACATCGGTTTTGATGTTATTCGGTAAAAAAAAATACAAACAAATAATATTTACACTTATTAATGACTAGCAGCCCGTCCCGGCTTCACACGGGGTAGACAATTATTTATTTTTGAAGATTTGGATTGTTAAAGTGACATAACTACCATAGTTGGACATATGCTACCGCGGAGTTCTTTTGTAGACATTATGCAATATTGTTGTACATTATTGTGTTCTACCGCTAATAGTTTCGGCAGCGCATTCGACGAAAGACATTTGAGGACTCATTTTTCTACAGCTTCGGTTACATTGTTCAAATTTTACCAAGGTACCCTAATGTTTTTCAAAATGAAAAGCCTATGTCAAATTGGAAGGTGCAAGATTTTTTTAAATCGGCCCAGTACTTTTTGAGCCTATTCATTACAAACATACAAAAATAGGTACAAATCTTTCCTCTATAAAATATTAGTATAGATAACAGTAGAGTAAAATGATGCGTCAGGTATGTCTTTACATTTTTCTCACATGTGTGTACAATATTGGAATATGTATCAGAGCAGTGTAAAACAGACTTTTTTTGAAAAGAGTAACGAATGGAGTTTCTTGCTCGTTCTTCTCCACTCGAATCGACATTTTGTAACGAGCGCCTAGCTTCACAGAACAGACTGACAGACTATTATTTATTTCATACTAGCTTTTACCCGCGGCTTCGCTCGCGTCACAAAAGGATAAAAAGTAGCCTATGTGACATATACTAACACACACAGCGCCATCTATACCAATAATTTCGTTTTCCCTCGAGAATATCAAATTTTCCGGGATAAAAAGTACCCTATTATTTAATCCAGACTTCTAACTTCACGTCTCCAAAAATCCAAAGCAATCGGTTTAGTAGTTACGGCGTGAACGTGGAACAAACAAACAAGCTCACTTTCCGATTTATAATATTGTTTTTATGCTTTTTTTATATTTATGTCTTTTCTGGCGTGCATGTCTTATGCCGAATAAACATTTTTTCATTCATTTCATTTCATTCATTTCATTCAATATTGGTAAGGATTTGTTGACGTTTCAAAAGTACCAAATTATGGTTTAATTGAAATAAATGCATTTGAGTTTGAATACATTTGTCACCTACATTCCTTCCGTGTCTCTTATAAGAGCAGAGTATGGGACTAAACCAGACCAATCTCTAATAAGCGTGGCGATAGCGACCCCTTCTTATGTACAGAAGGCTGTCTTTCTTATGTCTACCAGTGGACTGTCAAGGGTTAATAATTTTAATGTGTTGCGGTTTCTCCACTCAACCAATCTTCTTCAGTATTTTTTTTAATAACGTTGCCCCAAATTACGATTTCCTCCTGTGTCGTGGGTGCGTTCACAAACATACAAGTTCACATACACAAATTTTACATTAACGTAGAAGGATCGCCAATCTTAGAATCGCCATTCCAATAGATTATTTTTTCTTTAAATGATTCAGTTAAAAAATTATTATTATTATATATTTTTTCAGACTGCCTCGTTGGCCGAGTGGTCGCAAGTGCGACTGCCGGGCAAGGGGTCTCGGGTTCGATTCCCGGGCCGGGCAAAGTATTTTAAAAAAAATCTCAGTTGTGGCAGGAGTCTGGAATTGTGTCCGGTATATGGCAATAGGCTCACCCCCTATTACATGGAACTCATAACATAAATAGTGATAAGTGGGTGTTACATTGTACAGTGGCATTATGTGCACCTCTGCCTATCCCTACGGGGATAAAAGGCGTGATGTTATGTTAATGTTATGTTTATTTTTCCAGGGCTATCAAATGCCCGTCGATTCAGTACCAGTTGGCTGGTACAAAGAAGGTTCAGCAAGCGTTGGCCTCGCCCGGCGTGTTGGAAAAGTTCATGGGATCCGGGCCAAGCACTTCCCGGGTCAGGGACATATTCACCGGCCTTTATTCCTTGGACTTCGACGAGAACGGCGAGAGGGCAGTCGAAATGGGACTCAAAGACGCCGAGAAGTGAGTCGATTTTTCTAAGTCTTACTTGCTTAGAATAATTTGTTTACGTTAAATCGATAGTCAGATACCACTGGAGAGAGATCCGGCGCTGAGCTTCACAGTACAAATAAATAAACAATTCAGCTTAATATAATAGTATGAGATATAAGATTAAATTAAAATTGTTACTGCCTCGTTAGCCGAGTTGTCGCAAGTGCGACTGCCGGTCATGGGGTCTCGGGTTCGATTCCTGCGTCGGGCAAAGCATTACTGGGTTTTTAAAAAAATCTCAGTAGTTGCACGGAGTTTGGAATTGTGCCCAGTACATGGGACTCATAACATAAATAGTGAAAAGTGGGTGTTACATTGTACAGTGGCATTAAGTGCCGTAATGTGCACATAGGTGCTTACGGCCTACCCCTTCGGGGACAAAAGTCGTGTTATGAAGGAAACCGACGTGAAAGAACGCTTGCGTTGTGTTTCGTCGTGTGAGTGGGGTTACCGGAGGAGCAATTACCCCCCCCCCCCAGTCTCCCAATCCCCCAATCCTCCACAATCCTTAAATTCCCAATTCCCAAAACGCGATTACGCACTTGTAACGCCTCTGGTGTTTCAGGTGGCGACACCGATTGCTTACCATCAGGTGATCCGTCTGCTCGTTTACCGGCTTAAACCATAAAAAATACTATAAATAATAAATAAATTTAAAGACGTGTCGTTGTATTTGTAGGTTCGTACTGAAGCCGCAGCGTGAAGGCGGTGGCCATAACGTGTACGGCGCGGAAGTGCGCGAGGCACTACAGCGCATGCGTCACAGCCGGGAGCGAGCCGCTTACATTCTCATGGAGAGAATCCTACCTCCACTCGTAAGTTTATTTAAGTCAAAGTCAAAATTATTTATTTCAATTAGACTAGGGGGCTTTTTTTTAAGGGGGGAAAATCATCGAATGACTGCTCCCGCCTAGGTGAGGCGGAAGGGAGTGTCAGACTCTTACTGACTAAAAACCACCCCGTTCCTACTCCTGCACGTCGAGCCGGAGCCCCGGTTACCCGTTAGGTTCTCCGCGACAGACTAGGGGGCTTACGCACTCTTGAATCCAATTGGGTAGTTTCCAAGGTATCAAAATTAAAAATCTGAAGTCCGTCAGTTAGATAATGAAAAAATATTACACACGTATTTTTTTATTTTCTCGTATTAAGTTGCAATACTTAGATAAAATGGCGCTAAGTTTAGGAGGGAGGTCGTCACGTCATAACGTGCTACAAAATGTAACACGTTGTGACGTCACACGATATTTCAAGTTAAGTCAATATATCGTCGAAATAATTTAATTTTGTGAGCAAAAAATACGTGTGTAATGTTTTAAATTAATGTATAAGACGAACATTAAAATAAAATTTAGGAAACTACCCTATGCCCATCGACCGACATTGGTATTGTGATATTTTGTGCTCTTGAGTTTTAACACTAGCGCCCATTGAAACCGTATTGCGTGGATATTTAATGAACTAAATTATAACTCAAAGTATCCTAAATTTTATTTTAATGTCCGTCTGGAAGATTATTTTAAAACATTAGACACGTATTTTTCTTTTGTTTGAGAATTAAATGCTTTCGACGATATATTGATTTGAAATATTACAGTGTGACGTCACGATTTACTACATTTTATAGGATGTTTTTTTGAGGGGGGAAAATCATCCAATGACATCTCCCGCCCGGGTGAGGCGAGATGACTATGAGTGTCAGACTCTTACTGACTAAAAACCACCCCGTTCCTTCTCCTGCACGTCGAGCCGGAGCCCCGGTTACCCGTTAAGCCCTCCGCGGCTACATTTTATAGGGTAGCCTGACTCCTAAATTTAACTCCATTTTGACTAAGTATTGTTTTCTTATACGACATAAAAATATATGTGTCTAATATTTTATCATTATCTAACTGATGGACTAATTACATTTTTAATTTTCATACTGTGTACTGCCCTATTGGCTGAACCGATTTCGATGCGGTTTTCAAGTTATAAAAATGATTTAATATTACAGGTTCAAGGCTACGTGATACGTCCCGGTGCAACAATGCCGCCCCCAGTTGTCGATCTAGTGTCCGAACTCGGCATCTTTGGCGTTATCATCGGGTGAGTTTATTATTTTTTTATAGCATAATTGCATAAGCCGGTAAACGAGCTGTCGGATCACCTGATGGTAAGCAATCGGCGCCGCCCATGCATGGACACCCGAAACACCAAGGCGTTACAAGTGCGTTACCGGCTTTTTGGTAATTGGAAATTTGAGGATTGTGGAGGATACGGGGATTCGGGAGACTAGGGAGACTAGGGAGGGGGGTAATTGGGCCTTCGGTAACCTCACTCACACGACGAAACACAACGCAAGCATTGTTTCACGTCGTTTTTCTGCTCGGCCGTGGTATCACTCCGGTCGAGCCGGCCCATTCGTGCCGAAGCATGGCTCTCCCACACTTTATTATTGTTATAGTATTTGTGTTATGATCTCCAACTTAATTACCAGGTGTGGAGATTATGATTTTATACTCTTATTTGAGCATGATCTAATTTCAGCAGGGGAATTTGTAGACAGACGAATGCCGATTATAATGCTGATTAATTAATTTAGTCAAAAACTAAAGATCTTAATTTTATTCCCTGAAAATTTTATAATACATGCATGATACATCCATTACCAATAAGTATTTGTTAGCGAAGAGAATATGAATGTCTAATTATAACTCTTTATTATTACAGAACAAGTGAGAAGATATTCCATAATCGCCAGGTAGGACATATGCTTCGCACGAAGCTAGCGGACGCCGACGAAGGCGGGGTAGCCGCTGGTCTTGGGGCCTTAGACTCTCCCTACTTAGTAGACATGTAATACTAATAATATTAATTACATAATTTTATTTTTATACACACAACTCGCAATTACACACTCTGTATACGTTTCAAAAACACACAGCCTGTATAAAATTCCAAAAAATACACAGCTGTGTAAATACAACAGCCTGTACAACCTCGAAATAGTAAATACAGCCTGTATAGAAAACTAGAGATGTGCTAGCATCTCTGGCCCGTATCGACAGTTTTGGTATTATTATATTAGAATTATAAATGATATACAACAAATGTTATTGAAATAGTAAAAAATACGATTAATTACACAGTTTTAGAGTATCAAATGTAACTGTTATTTTTCATTTTGTATTTGACTACAAAAAAATATTTAATAAATTAAAATAACGTAAAATAATTATCTGTTCTCTTGTTTAGGTACATACCAAAGTTCCGCCAGTTGTGTTTTTTCTATCAATTTAGTTTAATAAAATAATAATTTAAATGCATAAAATTCATAATACGTTTGTGATATTTAAGATACATTTAGCACAAAATCAATAACCGTTATCAATAGTCAATTCAAAATCTTAACATTGACATTTTGTTTTAAGAAATTTCTGTGAAAAAGCGATCTATCTTTTGGATTATTAATTTTGGCCGACAGTGCCTTTTCACTCCTTGTAAAAAGGTCCTTACTTTATTTATTTTTTATTGAATAGACTAAATACATTTTTTTTATGCAAAATGTCGATATATTTCATATCGATAACGCAACCGCATTGCGATAGAAATGTTTTAACAAAATTATTATTTTTAATCTATGGTGACCATTGTTATAACCTCTAAATTATTTCTGATTTTATTTTCGAATTTCGAACCACAAAATTCTTTATTTGTACATCCAAATTATCTGCATTTATAATAAATAATTGTGAAGTATAAAATTGTATACAAAAAAATTATAATTTAAATTAATTATCTAATTATGTCATCTATATTTAATTTTATTGAAATGTAATGTAAAGGCGTAATGAAGTCCTTGCCATAATTTTTTGTTAAATAAATTAATTGAAATTTATTTTTATAGACATTCCGTTATTTCTTTTTTAATCACGATTGATTTTATTGTTGTGATAAAATCGCCTTGTGCCTATTTTTATAGCACGTTGCGCGATTTTATTAAAAAAAAATATAATATTAATTAATCATTATTTAGATAGGTTTGGATGACTGATAATTGCAATAAACTTTAATAATTATCCAATATATATATAATTATTATTTACAATAATTTAATTATATTTTTGTTACATTATTGTTCATTTCAGAGGGCGTAGTATAAGTATGGTTTGCGTTTAACGAGAACGCAACGATACCGCGTTTAGCCCTGATTGGTTGGTTTATTGGAGCAGGCCAATCAGACCGCAGAACGTCATGAACGTAGAGTCTGTCAAGCGAGTCGCGAGCGAGTCCCATGTAAAAGGCGGCAAAATTAAAAATCTTTTAGGTGTCAACACTGATATAGCATGCTGAAAACTTATTGATACTTGAATTTTTGATAAAAAAAAACATAATTATTTGAAATAAATTAAAAAAAACAATAAGTTATTTTATTTTTTCGTGGGACTAGATTCGCTTGACAGACTATCGATCACGTTACGTAAAACAAATTGGTACTAAGGCCTCTGTATAAGCATTCTCCTTCAGTTATAATTATTTGATTTTGTAAAATGGTTTGTTAATTTTGGTGATATTTTGAAGTTAATTGCGAGAATCAGTCGATCTGTGGTGCTGAGATAAATACATAGACGTAACTTTATATGTTTTTAATAAATAACTTGCGTGAAATATAAGTAGTTGACTTTTATTTTCTTCTTTCATGGCCCCGTTGCAGTAGTTATTTAGTAGTAATTAGTTGATGTGTCTCGTTGTGAGTTCGATCGTGCAAAGAATAACTACATAACATAACACCACGCCTTTTATCCCCAAAGGGATAGGCAGAGGTGTACATTACGGCAGTTACTGTACAATGTAACACCCACTTATCACTATTTATGTTATGAGTCCCATGTAATAGGGGGTGAGCCTATTGCCATATATTATACCGGGCACATATCCAGACTCCGTGCTACTTCTGAGGTTTTTACAAACCCAGTAATACTTTGCCCGACTCGGGAATCGAACCCGAGACCCCTTGCCCGGCAGTCGCACTTGGGACCACTCGGCCAATGAGGCAGTCAAAGAATAACTCTTGTTGTGAATTGAAGTTGGAGTGTGATGTGATGTACGTGAAAATGTACGTTTGTAAACGCACCCACGATATAGAAAATACTACTATGGGACACTAAGTCGTGGTGGCCCGGAGGTTTAAGACGCTCGCTTCTCATGCATGAGGGTACTTGTTCGAAACCTACCAACGGCAAGTACCAATGTGACCCTTTCCGAGTTATATGTAGTATGTACTTGCTAAGATTATCTAGACACCACTGACAAACGGTGAAGGAAAACATCGTGAGGAAACCTCGGCTTATAATTTCTAATTATAAGTTTGTAATCGCCAACCCGCATTGAGCAAGCGTGGTGGTTAATGCTCAAACCTTCTCCGTGTGAGAAGAGGCTTTGCTCAGCAGTGGGCATTTATAGGCTGTTAATGATAGACTATGGGGCAACGTCTTTAAAAAAAACGTATTCGGTTCCACGAAAAATCCTTGCTTTAGTTCATGAAAAGCTGAAGTACTAATAATTATGTATTTTGCACGTAAAAAACTCAAATAAACAGTGTTTTTAAATAAATTTATTATATTATATTATAATAAACAATCTACAGAGGTTGATGTTAATTAATTAAATATATTCTGTGTATTTTGACATCTTGTTCTTGAAAAGGTTGCCGCCTTCGTTGTAGCCCTCCATGTAAGCGAATTTTGGGTGAGCGTCGATGACCTGGAAAAGAAAATAAATATATACATTAGCAAAACAAGTTATTTTACGGATTGCCTCATTGGCCGAGTGGTCGCCAGTGCGACAAGGGGGTTCGATTCCCGAGTCGGGCAAATTATTACTGGGTTTAAAAATACCCCAGTAGTAGCGCAGAGCTTGGAATAGAGCCCGGGTGTTTCTTCAAAAAACTTTAACTTTTATTTAACAAACCATTACCCTCCCGCGTTATTAAGCATCGCGGTAACTTATTAGTATCTGTATTTTATTGGATTGGGTGAGAGCAGTGACACGGCTCAATTTCTGTAAACTAAACTTTGTATTTTAATCAGCAGAATTGTTAACTTTGGCTTAAGGATAATGACGCCGTCAATTTTTGTTTTTTTTTTTTGAAGAATCACCCGCACGATATCTTGCAATAAAAACGAGTACGCGTTCGTCGCTCTGATTGGCCGGCGCCAATGAAGCAACCAATCACAGCGCTGAATGCGTACTCGTTACGATTACTACTTCCCGACTTTTGTGGATTCCCATAGGCGGTTCTTACGACATCGCCAGGAAAAGTTGAGAAAACCTATTTTTTATGGGATATACCAGCATACAAGCGTACATAGGCCACGGTGACCGCTTACAACCAGGTGGGCCGTGGGCTTAGTTTGCCGCCGTCGTGGTTATAAAAAAAATGGATACATCGCCTGGTAAGCAATTGGCGCCACCCATGGAAAGAGTTAAAAGCGCGTTATCTTCTCTTTTGAGGTTAGAGATTTGAGAGGTGAGAAGATTCGGGAGGGCGGGGAAATGTTAACTGAAAAAAACCCACCTTTTGCCTTTCATACGCGTCATCAGCACTCGTGACAAGTTCGGGCACATCCAGCTTCGGTATACCGAAGAGGTTCATCAGGAAGAACTTCTGGTTCGTATACAACATGCGCTGGTCCGCCCAGTCAACTTCACGGGGAAGGCGCCAGTCCTTCATTTTAGGTTCCTCTCGTTCCGTGTACTGGTCGAAGTTGAGACGCTCTATGTCTTCAACGACCTGTAACATAATGAAATAGGTAGTATTAATTTTTTTTTCAAATAGCACTTTAACATGTAAGTATTATAAAATTTTCTAGTTAGAAAAATAACACTGAAGCAAGCTCAGAAGTCTTGTCGGGCCAAACTTGCGTTAACTGTCCATTGTAGATGTATCTCATAGTCATCTCATACCCAGTGACGTAATTACAGGGTCGCTAAAATGCCACGGGAGCTCAGAAGGGGCCACGTTCAGAGGTTTTCATCTGAACTTCTCTGCATTATATTGCGAACGGGGGCTCATTCGATGAATCTGGTACAGGCCCCAACGAGTATAGTTGCGCCACTGGTCGTATCGATTAAAAACCTAGTATTACACAGCAATTGAAAATAAAAACTATAGCCAAGGCATATTGGCTATCATTTATAATATTATATAAAACTAGCGGACCCAACAGACGTTGTCCTGCATATCCACTTGAATGTATAAACAAAAATTCATTCAAATTAGTTCAGCTGTTTAAGATAAATAACCTAAACATCGATCGACTGCAGCGCCATCTGCCGGGCTGATTTGTGAATCTAAACCATTCCCAGATCCCCTTGAACACACACAAAAAATTTCATCAAAATCGGTCCAGTCGTTTGAGAGAAGTTCAGTGACATACACACTCACAGAAGAATTGTATATATAAAGAGATGTACTGACCACTTCAGCCTCACCGCCACCGGTCCAGTCGTACACCAGAAGCTCAGCATGCGTGGAGATGTCACGAAGGTATTTGTTCTTGTACTGTGTCTCAATTTCCGTGAGGAACTCAGTCGTCAGTGCGCGGCCGCTGACCTCATGCTCCAGCTTACGTTTCTTAATGGCTTCTTGCACCTAGAAATACGAATGAAGATTGATATTGAAATTATCATTTTCAAAAAGACTGATGACTATTGATGAAACGAAAGAGGTATGTAATCATAGCAATTGGCATTCCATAATCTCTGCCTACCCCCATGGGAGACAGTATGCATCATCAATATCAATACATAGTATAAAACAAAGTCGCTTTCGCTGTATGTCCGTATGTATGCTTAGATCTTTAAAACTACGCAACCGATTTTGATGCGTTTTTTTTTAATAGATAAAGTGATTCTTAAGGAAGGTTTATATGTATAATACATGCATATTGCACCCGTGCGAAGCCGGGGCGGGTCGCTAGTAAACTATATTTGAAAAAATTTACTTCTACTTCTTTCGTTTTGTTTACTTGCATCAAATTTAGCTGTAGGGTTAGCTATATATGTTGTACTATGTTATACCTACATAAATGATGATCTACTGAATGATGATCTAATGGATATAAAACAGAAGTTGTTGTATGTAAACCTCTTTGAACACTATGGTTGGCAGTTGGCACTAAAATGCGTAGATAATAAGTATGAGGAAGTAATGGCAATAAGTTATGTGATTTAACTCGTCAAGTACCGTCATAATAGACACATAATAGACATAGAGAACAATAGCTTGCGGTCACCGGTGACCGCAACCTATTGTTCTATAATTGTATCTATAATGACGGTACTTGACGAGTTAATAGTGCTCACAAGAAAAATTCATTACTGTTGAAAATACAATGAAATTATGTTTTTGTGTTGGTTTTATACTATTGAGTATCCATTATTATAAGTTCAAAGCCAGTGTTTATTATACAAGCACTTTAGAAATGTTAAATTATTTGATCTTATAGAAGATAAAGCATAACAGTTCACTGGTCCAAACAATAAAATAAGACATAACATCGAGCCATTTTATCCCCAAAGGAGTAGGCAGAGGTGCACATTATAGCACTTAATGCCACTGTACACTGTAACACCCACTTTTCACTATTTATGTCATGAGTCCCATGTAATAGGGGGTGGAGCCTCCATGCTACTACTGAGATTTTAAAAAAAAAAACCTAGTTATTCTTTGCCCTTGCCCAGCAGTCGCACTTGCGACCCCTCGGCCAATGAGGTAGCCACAATAAAATAAGATTAGTTTTACATTTACCTTGTTCACAGGCAGATCCAAGTAGATGACAAGATGTGGGCGCATCAGTTCCTCCAGGCTCTCAGCCCTCAGCTCATAGTATACTTGGCGCACTGCCCTGCTAATGAACTTGGAACGGTACATAGCCTCCAGAAACACAAAATCAGAGTAAGGAGACCTTTCCAGTACCACCCCTTGACCAGTGTTCAACAAATGGGTCAGAGCGTCAATGTACTGACTGTACCTCGCAATGTACATCATAATCTGAAAGTTGCCAGCCAGACGATGGTTCGGACACAAGTTGAAGTTCACATGGTCAAAGGTCCTAGTGTCCTCGGGGATCTGCTCGTCAAATTTGCGAATGTCGACGCCATTGGGCCTTACATAGTGGATGTCCATGTTAGCTTCAGGGAAATGCTTCATTCCGAGGTCCTCAGCAAGCATAGCAGCGAACTTGGTCTTGCCAACAGCCACTGGGCCCTCGACCACGACGACTTTGGTGTTGTCATCGAACCTATGAGTCGTACGGTCGAACAGACTCCTCAGCCAAGTGTAGTCTTTATTTACATAGTCGAAGGGAGCTGGCTTCGGAGGAGGGCAGGGCAGAGAGCTCCTAAGAGACTTGCCAGCGATGTTACGGTTCTGCACGAACGTGCATGCCGCTATTTTACATCCTTGGCCCTGGTTCGTAAGAACCTTTACAACACCCAGTTTCATCAGCGTAGACATTTTGACTCGAGGTATCTCTTGTTGTGCGATACCTAAAATACATTTTTAAATGAGATTTTGTATTTTTGTGGCGTGTAATAAAACTTTAATTGGAAAATCTTACCTCAACTCAACTCATAACAAAAATTATTCCTGTGACATAACCATTCACAAAAGAAGCGTTCAGAAATCGAATTCAAAGTCGTGCTAAAATATTTATTTTCCTGCATTATGAACGCAGCTATAAATAGAGGTGACCGTAATGATACTAATTTGATACTTATTTTCGAACTTAGTATTGGAGATTTTAGCATCAAGGGTCCTGCATTTTCAGAAAATTTTACTTTACATGGCGTAGACATGTCGGTTTACAGTACCTAACGTTTTAGGACGTGTCGTGTTTTGTGTTTTCCGTTTCTGTGCCAGTTTTCGAAATAAAACCAGAGACAACACAACAATATTTTGTGGCAATCAAATAAGTTCCTTGGTGGCAATGGTTGGAAATGACATTTGTCAAAACATGTACGTCTATGTTCCTTTTTAGTCTGTGCTTTTATTTAGCCATGTGATATTATTCTATTTTGCAACAAAAATCTCGTGAATTTGTGCAGTTATATTTATTAATCGACATGACTGACCAAACAGCATCAAAAATGGAATCAGAAAATATAAATGTGGAAGAATTCCTGCCTGCAAAGAAGACAGTGAAGCTGAAAAACATAAAACGAAGGGCAGTGTCTGAATCTGGCGATGGCATGGAAATTGAAGAATTTAATGGGATTCAAGGGAAAGCTAAACACAGTCGGTCGAGGCCCAAGAAGAAGAAGAACTCTGAGCCAAACGAGTCTAAAGAGAATCTGAGAAAAATCGCAGTTCCAGCACACAGGTATAACCTCAAAATTGTTAAGGTTGAAATATTGTAAATAAATAACACGCAATAGTTATTCTTTTATTGGGGAATTTAAACATATTCAGATTTTTTTTATAGTCGGGGGTCGACGTTAGGCCACTATCGCGCTTGGTGGTAAGCGAAGTAACATAAAAAAGATATAATATCCTACATTTACAATTTAATTATTTATTTATCATCACACTTAGATCTATCATTACAGGTTTAACCTAATATCAAAGTGTTCTATACAATTTTAGAAATGAGTCCTAAATTACTTTAGCCATCTTATTAAAAAAAAAACATTATTCTTTATTTTACAGATACACTCCTTTGAAAGAGAACTGGCTGAAAATCTTTACTCCTATCGTGGAACACTTACTTCTACAAGTGAGGTTTAATACAAAGACTCGTAATGTTGAAATAAAGGTTGGACCAGAAACAAAAGACATTGCCAATCTGCAGAAAGCTGCAGATTTCGTTAAGGTAATATTTTTTTATTACAATATTTTATTTAACTTACAATGTATGCATGTGTGTGCAATGTGCATAAAGTGGAATCTTGCAAGAAAACTTCAAAGCTTCAAACCGTGAAAATGCACAATATTACACACATATACACAACACAACAATTTACGTAAGAAATATCGACGCACACAATTAGAACAAACACAATGCTCAAGTACCTGTTGAAAATCATCCCCTAAATTTGTTCATACAAAAGTAGTCTCTAAACATCAGAAAGTAGGTTTATTATGTAGTTAGTGGAGAGCTGTCACCAGTGACCGCTTGAGGATAAATGGGTTAAGTTAAAATTTTGTGTACACATTTAGTTACTGGATACAACCCAGTTTAAATGATTTAAAGATTAATGATTATGTTTTCGAGAGGTTCATATTCTCCTCTAGCATGGGTTGAATATACATAGTCAAGTTCCTCATCAAACAGTTATGTGATTAAGCCGAAAACATAATAATTAGTATGTGTCACTAAAGTTCAGAGGCCTTAGTACGAGTTTTTTGTTTGTTTAAAGTAATTGAATCAAGACGGCGTTCTGTGCTCTGATTGGTTGGTTCATTAGAGCCGGCCATCGTCGAATGTGTACTCGTTACGATTACTTTAAACGAAAAAGAAAATCGTACTAAGGCCTCTGTTTTAACTCGTCAAGTACCGTCATTATAGACACAATTATAGAACAATAGGTTGCGGTCACCGGTGACCGCTTGGTGTTTGACAGTTTAAAAAGATAGTTGTTAGTTTTAGGTGTACCTCAATTGCATTAGATATGTTGTTCCATGTCTTCCTGTCTTAACAATGAGCATGTTGTACTAAATGTACAGGTACATACTTATTTATCGCAAACAAAACTGGTATCCTCTCAGCTATTTAGAAAAATCCAGGATGACACCGGGGCCTCTCTCACTCCATTATAGACCGTACCTCAAATATTTACTGCCTCATTGGCAGAGTGGTTGCAAGTAAGACTGCCGGGCAAGGGTTAGGTGGGTTTTTAAAAAAAATCTCAGTAGTAGCACAGAGTCTGGAAATGTGCTCAGTATATGGCAATAGGCTCACCCTCTATTACTTGGGAATCGTAACATAAAATAGACAAAAGTGGGTGTTACTTTTACAGTGGCATTAAGTGCCCTATGTGCACCTCTGCCTTCTCCTTCGGGGATAAACGGCGTGAAATTACGTATGTATTTTCAAATATTTAGAAACTATTTTTGTATGAACAACTCTGGTACAGGTTGGAAATAAGTAGTTTATTGTCTCAATGAAAGGCTCTTACTATTTTTTATTGTACTTTATTATTGTTTTTTTCCTATTTCAGGCTTTCATCTATGGATTCGAAGTTGACGATGCCCTTGCCCTACTCAGATTGGATGATTTATTCGTAGAATCGTTCGAAGTAAAAGATGTAAAAACATTAAATGGTGACCATTTAAGTCGCGCCATCGGCCGCCTTGCGGGCAAAGCTGGCCGCACAAAATTCACTATAGAGAATGTCACTAAAACCAGAATAGTGTTGGCAGACTCAAAAATTCATATTCTTGGCAGTTATCAGAATATCGCGTTGGCGCGAAGAGCGATATGCAACCTCATTATGGGTTCGCCTCCATCTAAAGTCTATGGAAATTTGAGAAATGTTGCCAGCAGGGTCGCGGAGAGATTTTAGTTTGTAAATAAAAGCTTTATTTGTAAATAAAATGTGTTCTTTATTAAATACTTAATTTCACTTAAGAAGTGTTATATGGAATGTGACATAACAACTAAACTTAAATAATATTTAACATAAATATGTTATTATAATTGAAAACTGAACATCTAAGCAGAAATGCAAGGTGTAACAAAATGAACTCGTCTCCCTCTACCTGCCTGGAGGGAGGGCAGGTATAAAGTTCCGTTCAGCTAGCACAAGAAATTTCCTTTTTTTTCCTTCCCTCTTTATGTACAACAACTGAGTGATTATTCTTCAGATTGCGACAATTTCACGAGTGTACCAATATACAGCATCATGTTTTTAAAATAACTATCGTGAGACATACTAAATTATGGCTAGCACGCGATGGCTGCGCGACATCGCCACGACCGCACGCTGCTCATGAGGAAGAACCCCTCTGTGGTTCGAAACTAGTAGAGCTTTTCTCAGTATATTCATGTGAGTAACCCGTGATTTTTAGTTATTACAGCATCATTATAATAATTGGGGACACTCGCAAAAAATAAATGATGGCATTTCTATTTACTTCATAACACCTTGTATATAACTAAAAGTATACTAGATTTCATTGTTAATTGTGAGTTTACAACAATATTTTGTATTTGAAATGTCTGGGGACTCGCGAGAGTACAAGCCGGGCGTCGTAGCTCAGGGAGGCGAAGGTCCAGGGCTCCGCGGCGCTCCACTCTGCACAGTATACTGAGTCCTCGTGTTGCTCATACGATTGTAGTACTCCGTCTTCTAGACTGCAAATATAAAAATAAAAATATTCCAGGTTAAGTTATGTATTACTAGCTTTTACCCGCGGCTTCGCTCGCGTCACAAAAGGATAAAAAGTAGCATAGGTATGTGACATATACACACAGCGCCATCTATACCAATAATTTCGTTTTCCCTCGGGAATATCAAACTTTTCCGGGATAAAAAGTACCGTTCCGGACTTCTAACTTTACGTCTGCAAAAATTCAAAGCAATCGGTTTAGTAGTTACGGCATGAAAGCGGAACAAACAAACAAACTCGCTTTCCAATTTATAATATTAGTAAGGAAGTAAGGATGGGGATGTTTTTTTTACTACGTGCTAAAGTACAATAATAGCAGAATATAAATATTGCACTTAGACCTTTGGAGTTCTCATTCATTTGGAAATGTCAGCGGCTTAAAATCACTGTTCATGATTTTAAGCAGCTAAAACTGTTCTAGCACACGTCTCGAATCAAAAGTCATTCGACATTTTTTTACGGTCTCTTTCCAAAATACTCTATTTAGCAAAATAATAAGTAGCTCTTTATACGAACAAATTAGCTCTCTAATAGGAGACAGGCCTGATATTATATCACTACAGGTACTATAAAACACTCGCTTTTACCGTCTGTCTTGCTTAGATCTTAAACTACACAACGGAGTTTGATGCGATTTTTTAACGTCTTGTCTGTCGGTATGCAGATCTGTATTTATTTATTTACTAGCGGACCCGACAGACGTTGTCCTGTAATAATAGGCATAGATAAAAAGGTTATTTAAAATAACTAGAAACCGACTGCAGCGCCATCTGCCGGGCTGATTTGTAAATTTAAACCATTCCCAGATCCCCTTGAACACACACAAAAAATTTTATCAAAATCGGTCCAGTCATTTGAGAGAAGTTCAGTGACATACACACTCACAGAAGAATTATATATATAAAGATTTAAGCGGTACACAAAACAGAAACAGCGCAATACACAACAGAGTAACCATACAAAACTGTAAACGGCACACAAAATGACATGCAACGACTTATTTATTTATTAACAATTATTTATAATGAACTAGCGACCCGCCCCGGCTTCGCACGGGTGCAATATGCATGTATTATACATACAAACCTTCCTTAAGAATCACTCTATCTATTAAAAAAAACCGCATCAAAATCCGTTGCGTAGTTTTAAAGATCTAAGCATACATACGGACATACAGCGAAAGCGACTTTGTTTTATACTATGTATTGATTATAATCCGAAAGAAAAAAACAATGCAATTAAACAATAGATACATTATTCAATATTGTCCTCATCATCAGACCGAACAAATAAAAATTTCCTAATAATATTTTTAAATTTGTGAAGCGAGGTATTGTGGATACCAGACACGCCCAATCTACGCGAGACAATGTGTTTTCTATTGTCTCATATATCGACAGAGAAGAGTGCTTCAAAAGCAATGTTTATATTATGTAGTTACACATGCATAACGAAGTAAAGTCAAGGTAGCTAATGGTGCATAATAATAGATAAGTATACTGACACTTGGCTGAGCCGTTTGCCGTCATCATCGAGGTCGCAGCATACACTGGCGGCGGCAGTGAGCAGTGCGCGCGCGTCGGAACTGCCTGACAACAACAACTGCTCGTGGAATGTGTTGTAGCGGACTGTCCATACCCTGCCGAACGATATAAATTAGTATTTTAGTAATAAACTACGTACATGCGACATCTTAAGACTAAAAATAGAACTAATGTTGATAGTTGAAATCTTTATCCGATAGATGGTGTTGTGTTACGTCATTTTCTGAATGACGGTGTTAGAGTGCAATTCGTTGCTGTAAGCAACCTATTCATTCGGGCCTTGAAGACACCCAGGTGGCCTTCAAGGCAGGCCCTAGTCGATAGATTACTTATGGGCAGTCGTGCAGTCGTGCTCCATCGTAGACCGCATCATAGAAAGAAAGAGAAGTAAGAAAGAAAATGCATTTATTTGGCAAGTAGGCACACGCAAAAACAAAGATTCAAGGAGTACGGAGTCTGGAATTGTGCCCGTTATATGGCAATAGGCTCACCCCTTATTACATGGGACTCATAACATAAATAGTGAAAAGTGGGTGTTACATTGTACAGTGGCATAATGTGCACCTCTGCCTACCTCTTCGGGGATAAAAGGCGTGATGTTATTTTAGTATATGGACTCACCAATGTGAATGATCGGTTCTGCTGAAGATAGGTTCCTTTCCGTTCCTATAATCCCATATTTTGAGAGCTGCGTCGTCACCCGCGCTGGCTAAGTGAAACTGTCTGAAATCAATATAAAAACAAAAAATCTATACAAATGTAACGTAATTAACGCACACCCTCAAACACCCCAATTAGAATATTATGTTATAATCATAATACATACACTAAATTTTTAATTTAACATGTATAATGTATATGCATCCTTACTGGTCTTGTCATAAGGTTTATTTTTCTTTATTTTGTATTGAATGATAGAATTTGTATGAATACAAATTTCACTGCGATTTTAAAAGTCTTGTTGCTTTGACTTACAGTCCATTTCGATTTGTGTTGACAATACAGGGTTAATATGATAATAATTTCCGTAGTTTTAATTATTTTTGGGATAAAAAATTACCTATACTTAAAATTATATAAATCGATTCAGTTAACGATTCTGAGCAAACTATTTTCAGGATAGGAACTAGCGACTAGCGACTCACCCCGGCTTCGCACGGGTGCAATATGTATGTATTATACATATATCCCGTCCTTAAGAATCACTCTATCTATTAAAAAAAACCGCATCAAAATCCGTTGCGTAGTTTTAATATCTAAGCATACATAGGGACAGACAGACGGCGGATAGCGACTTTGTTTTATACAATGTAATGATGAAACCCGTTTCCCGTTGTCACGCCATAACCTGAGAATGGCTGGACCGATTTGGCTGATTTTGTTGTGTTTGTTATTAGCAGGAGAAGGTTCTTAACTCGTCGAGTACCGGTTTTGTAGACACAATTATAGAACAATAGGTTGCGGTCACCGGTGACCGCTTGGTGTTTGACAGTTTAAGTCAGAATTTTAATTCGATTCCAGATTTGACATTAGCTACTGTCATTTTGTGAAATAATGATACCACATATAATAGTGGAGTGATGAACACAAAAATCGATAAACAATCAGATAGGCTAGATACCTAGCCTATCTGATTGTTTACTTTAATTAATTAACATTAATTGACAATATCACAGACACATTCATAATAAATGTTACAGAAAGTGACAGCGATAGCGAAGACGACGACAATTTATAAAATAAATAATTACATCTATCTGTTTTATTTGTCATGTTACTTTATGATCACATTTTTTTATTTATTTCACACACAATTATAAAACAATAGTCTTAGATCGTTAAATAATCGTCAAAACTAAATTATCGGTGCAGAAATATTTAATTTCCTGGTATACCTACTTAGTTTACGACACTAAAATTATAAACGAGAAGAATCGATCAAGAAATATTCCATTTCCATATCGAATAATTTCGCAACGTCACTATTCAGTACTTGTCATAACGTTGCAACATTGAAATTGTCAAATCTGGAATCGAATTAAAATTCCGAGTATAGGTTTTTTGTCCCCCCCCCCCCTGGAACGCGGGCAAAGCCGCAGTAAGAAGGTTGTAGTTAAATAATATAAATTACCTGTTAGGATTAAAATCGAGATCCCTCGCAAGTTGTGTATGCGCGTTGTCGATACTCCACGATGGTTTCGTGCAGTCGGACCGAGTGTCGTAACATTTTATATGCGTGTCCTGTAGCACTGCGAACTGCAAACAAATTATCACATAACATCACGCCTTTTGTCCCCGAAGGAGTAGGCAGATTATGGCACTTAACGCCACTGTTCACTTGTTAAGGCCCCCTGGCCCGACCTCTCATACATATTCATGAGTAGCATTCCGTGACCCGCGCTGCGGTGACTGTAGCGCTGCTTGTGGCTGCTTGAGTCAGCTGACGTTGATGATGTTCACGGATGATGTTCAAGAAATTACCTGCGTATGTCCTTGATGTGGGTTCCATTTGCCGCCAGTGAACTTGAGTCTGGCGGACGCAGCCGCCCGGCTGATGGCGGCGCCGCCCGTGACGTCATGCACTCGGACTCCGCCCTCACAGACCACGCCCACCCTACTCGCGTCCGTCGGGTGCCATTCTGCGCAACGTATCTCTTCTTCAGGTTTCTAAAAAAAATATAGACATTTTTTTTATAGCATAAGCCGGTAAACGAGCAGACGGATCACCTAATGGTAAGCAATCGGCGTCGCCCATGGGCACCCGAAACACCAAGGTGTTACAAGTGCGTTACCGGCCTTATGGGAATTGGGAATTTGAGGATTATGGAGGGTTCGGGGATTTGGGGGACTTCACTCACACGACTATCACTCCGGTCGAGGCGGCACATTCGTGGCTACACACTTAAATTATATCATTATTACTGCCTACATAAAATAAATAGAAAAAAAAAATTTGCTTTCCGCCGTTGTTTTTTTTATTTTATTTAGGTTTTTGTATCTGTATGATTAGATCTCTAAAATTATGAAACAGTATTTGAAGTAGTTTCTTTAAATAGACAGTGATTCAAGAGGAAGGTTTATTTGTGTAATATCTTCGAATTGGCAAAAGATAGGTGTATAATAATTACAAAGATAAGTACCTAGTTGTATAATAATGTTTACGTGATACATTATTTGAGAAAAGTTCCACTCGGTTCAATAATTTTAAGTTAACTCAATTTATAAAAAAAAAACCGTTGCCCCACACTAGGATTTTCTCCTGTGTCGTGGGTACGTTCACAAACATACAAGTTCACATACACATGACACCCAGACTTGGAACAACAATTTGTGGATCACACTAAGTGTTGTTCCGTGCGGGAATCGAACCCGCGGCACGGTGCACGGCAGCCGGTTGCCCAGCCACCGCAGCAACCGTGCAGTCAAAAAAATGTAGCGCTTTCCTATTATAAAATTATAGAAATAAAATTCAGTAGTATTTTTGTTTATATATTTGATGGGCCGACGTTAGACCACTATCTCGCCTCGTAAGCGATGATGCAGTCTACGATGTATATTTACCTCTGGTTTGATGGTTAGGAGCAGTTCCATATCTTCAGCATTCCTGCTTTGTATGGCGCTCAGATCATCCAGATCTTTCGGTATTACCTGCAAATCAGAATATTATCTTATACTATTATATAAAGCGGAAGAGTTTGTTTTTTTGTCTGTTTGTTTGAACGCGCTAATCTCCGTAACTACAAGTCTGATTTGAATAATTCTTTTTGTGTTGGATAGCGCATTTATCGAGGATGGCTATAGGTTATAAAATATTACGCTACGACCAATAGGAGGTCAGCAGAGCGTGTGAAACCGCGCGGAAGTAGCTAGTTATTAATATAATTCTGACTAAATAGCTTTCTGTTGGGTTGGGTAAAGTTTTATTGAGTTTTTCAACTCTCGTTGGTTTAGAATAACACATGCCGTAAATGCGGGCGAAGCCGTGGACAGAACACAGCTAAATAATCTATTTTGTTTTTTTTTTTTAATTTAATAAAACGTTGCCCCTCACTAGTATTACCTCCTGTGTCGTGGGTGCGTTTACAAACATACAAGTTCACATACACATGACACCCAGACCCGAAACAACAATTTGTGGATCGCACAAAGTGTTGTTCCGTGCGGGAATCGAACCCGCGACACGTTGCACGGCAGCCGGTTGCCCAGCCACCGCACCAACCGTGCAGTCAACCAACTATACAGATAAATTGGAGTGTCTGTTTGTAATTTTAAAATAACCGCTTTTTACTACACGCATATGAATTGGGTACTTGCCAACTAGTAAAATTCAATACTTTTTTCGAACTGTCAAAAACGACAGTTTTCTATGAATTTTGTACTCATTGTGTATTGTGACGTCAGGTTTTTTAGCGTCAAACAGCATACTTATTTCGTAAAAATTTACTAGAAAAATACTAAAATTAAGTTGGGTCATAAAATCAATGAATGAAAGTGTGATTGTTTTTCAATATTTTATTGTACAGAACAGTTGAAATAATTTATTTTTGATTAAGGAAAGTACCCAATTACGATACACATAGAAAAAATATTATTTCTAAACATTTTTGTCTGTTTGTCTGTTTGTACAGGCTAATCTATGGAATGACTGGACCGAATTTGCAAGACTTTTATTGGCAGGTAGCTGATGTACTAAGGAGTAACACAGGCTACTTTTACTTTGGAAAATTGAAACAATAAGAAGTTATGTCCTAAAATTCATATTCTATCGACAAAGTCACGGGCAACAGCTAGTAAAAACAATAAATACCTCAACCGTTGGGAGTTTGAATATGGATACTCCCATGGTGCACTGTGAAGTAGCAGGATCATAAGAGTTGTGCGTGGTGAGGAGAGTGGCCGCATCATGGGGAGAGCAACGGAGATGCCAGACTTCACCGATGTCATGTTTAAACACCTGCAAATATTTAACTTACAGTCTATGAACAGACTAGAAACAAGTATGCGAATAGTACTTACTAATTGTTTGTTAGCATCTAAAACTACAGGGATATTGGAAAATTGATTTCATAATTGGTAAATTCTTTGCCAGAGTCTGTATTTCCTGAAGGGTCTTCAAGGCCGAAGTGAATAGGTTGCTTATGAGACGGCATGCTCTACCGTAGACCATATCATCGCTTACCACCAGGCGAAATAGAGGTCAAACATGGGACCATCAAATATACAGGGTGTCCCTGAAGTCGCCGTCGATCGTCGACTTCCGGGACATTCTGTATAAGAAAAATATTAAAAAATAATAATTTTGATGGTGTTTAATTGACTTTCCACCATAACGATGAGAGTATGAAGAAGAACATAGGCCACATGTCAGTTATGAGTAATAACTACTTACAAATAAAATGCAATGATATTGTACCTTTGTATGCAAGGCTCCAGTATCCTCCTCCAATTCCACAACATGTATTTGATTGGAATTAGGCTTTAGGCTTTGTGTGCCTATTAGAAACCTGATTGCATCACTCTCTCCGTATTGAGGGGACAAAGCTCTTGTCTGAAACAGGAACAAAATATCGTCTTTATAATTATCAGACTGGTTATTATGTGAAAGAAAGAAAAAGAAAACATTTATTCAGCACCAGGCACAATGCAGCATAAATAAAATATAAAAAAGACAATAAAGGTGTGACAGTGGAATTAATAAAAATATAAAAGTTGAAAAATTGAAACAGAAGTATTAGAAAAGAGACGCTGACAACATGCCTATGCTAAAAGGGTCACCCACTCAGTGTAAGCCAGGCATACAAGTCACCCAGCACTGATTTTCAGTGAGCACCCATGCAGTGACGCACGGATGGATGCAGTGATATAATATACCATCTCCACTCTTCCCGCGGGTATCGTAAGCCAACTAAGGGACAGCATTTGACAGAGACTGGACAGCAGCATTCTTTGATACACCTGAACTTTTAAACGTTTAACGACGTGCTCCATCGTAGACCGCATCTTTGCTTACTATCAAGCGAGATAGTCGTCGAACGTCGCACCCATCAAATATAAAAAAAGTTATCTCCAATCCGCTTGCCAAGTATGGAGATTTAGACAAACCCTCGTAGAGGAGGCTTCAAATTTAGTAGGGGACTGTTGATGTATCAGAACTCATAAAATACTGAACAAAAGTTCGTAATGCAAAAAGGTTTTTTCATAATCCATGTTTATCAAAGCGGCCTGTAATTGCAGTGATTTCGTCTTTTGGTAGCTTTGTCTTAATTTAAGCACGTATTATTATCATACTCTTAACCTTCAAGCGGGCGCGCGTAGTCGAATCGACCGCGGTTAATACATTTTCGTTCGTATTTTTATTTTTAGTTGTCACATGCATTTCTAATTTCTAGTAGCCTGTCACTATCTTTTTAGGAGTAAAATAAAAACTATTTCGTTGCTTGAAGCGATCTCTACACTCCACAAATTACAATTATTTAGGCTCTGGCGCAGTCGTTGAAAAGACTACACGCGCCTGTCGTCGAATAGGTTACGCGCGACGCCCAACGCGACATACACATGTCAATATTATCTAATTCAGCTTGGAGTTTTGGTGTTTTAAAGCATTTTTTGTTTAAATAAGTCGTTTATGGTTATCGCAAAGTACAGTAATCGAGGAATTACAAAGAGAAGACGAAGAAGAGAGTGAATCAGAGCTTAGCAACCAAGGCTCTGAAACTTCTCATCACATAGTTTTAGAAGAACATCTATCTGATGTGATATCATCCTTGTCGGATTTAGATGAGAATAATTTGTAGCTTTCGGTAATAAATAGCTGTTTTACAGGACGCGATAAAGTAACGAAGTAGCAAAATCTGAAAAATTACTAGAATACTGACTCAGACGAAAATAAAATCAAAATTAATGAGTTTTTACAGTTTTATCCTTACTTTTTATTTATTTTTTGGTCTACGTATATAAACCAACCTAACATATGTACCGTTTACATATGTTAGGTTGGTTTATATACGTCTTAATTTTTATTTTGATCCAAAGAATATTTGAGTTACTTTAGGTGACTTAATAATTGCTTCTTTTTCATAATTTTAATTACTTGTTGTGACAAATTTCTCTTTAAAGACAATGATATTGTATCTTAGTACAAATTAATAAATGATTATCCCATAATTATTGCTTTCTTGGTCTTATTCATCCCATAGGTCTATTCGGTTACGCGCGCCCGCTCCCGTTACAAAAGACCGCGCGCCCGCTTGAAGGTTAATCAATGGTAGTACTGATCAACTAAATGGAAGGTTACTTTCTGTACGTATTTGATCATTAAAATCTGAATTTATAAGTAATTTACATACCTGGTGCTCTAAACCATATATTATTGAATTTCCTTCCTCCATTGCAAGTTGAAATTATTAATAATTTAGCTAAAAATCGAATGTTTGTTTACATCAGCGCTGTAGTCGTAATCTTTTGACATTTTGGTCTGTAAAAACATAAAATGTAATGTCGTATATTGTTTTCTCTTTTACTCATTAGCGTAATTTCTTGTGAAAGAAGGGTATAGAAGTATTTTTATGCTCAAAATATTGACATTCAAACATTGTCAACCAGAAACGTGGAACTGACAATGACATTGACATCTTTTGAACTTTGCCAATGTCATTCTACGTTTTATTATACCACCGGATGATATTTTCAAAAAGATTAAAATTGAACAATCCCTTTAAGAAACTTGGAAATAATAATATGTACCTTTGTATGTATGAAACTAAAACCGAAATTGAAAAAAAATACTACATTTATTTTAAAAGTTACCTAAAATTTTATAGTATTTAGCTTTATAAATTAAAGTAACGGCAATGACCTGCCCCTCATTCGGTTCCTGATTGCAATTTCCCGATGTTCCCGGTGAATGCGTCGATTTATTTTTCATAGAAACCTCATCTTAGTGATTGAACACAACAAAATTATACTTTCTTAATAATTCAATTTGCACAAGTAGGTAGGCAGTTCGGGAGTTATTGTATGCGACATACATTTCGTTGATTAAAATTAATTAAAAACTTTAAATTGATAAATTCGTAGTTGTGATTTTCTTTTATACCCATACTCAGTCATAAAGATAAATCGGTTTCCGTGTAAGAATGAAAAGATAATCACATAATAATGAGCTTTAACAAGAAAATTATTGATAATCAACTTCAAAGTTGTATGACAACAATGGGAAGTAAAATAATGATTTAATTGCATAATGGAATGCTCGACTTACGTTGCATAGTTCATAGTTGCTTTGTATACTATTTACAATGCGGTCTATCGTTTTCATACCAATAAAATGTACTAAATGCGTGTGTCCACTTACTAGCCGGGTACCGCCGGGTGGTAAGCGATAATGGGACCTACGATGGAGCACGCCTGCCTATACATCTATTTACTCGGGCCTCTAAGACACTGAGTTTATGATCTTGTATACACATACATACATACATACATAACTTCACGCCTGTGCCTGTCTCCCATGGGGGTAGGCAGTGAATATGGAACGCTAACTACTAGAACCTAACGGGTTACCGGGGCTCCAGCTCGGCGTGCAGGAGAAGGAACGGGGTGGTTTTTAGTCAGTAAGAGTTTGACACTCCCTCCCGCCTCACCCAGGCGGGAGCAGTCATTCGATGATTTTCTCGCTTAAAAAAAACTGCTACGATTCCTATATACCTACCTCTTTCGCTTCATCAACAGTCATCAATCTTTTCATGCATGCTCGTCGGGTAAGGGTACTTTTAATTTAGCCCTTCTTTAATATATAATTTTTTATGGCATAAGTCGGTAAACGAGCAGACGGATCACCTAATGTAAGCAATCGGCGTCGCCCATGGACACCTGGAACACCAGAGGCGTTACAAGTGCGTTACCGGCCTTTTGGGGATTAGGAGTTTGAGGATCGTTGGGGATTCAGGGATTGGGGAGATTGGGGAAGGGGAGGGTAATTGGGCCTCCGATAACCTCACTCACACGACGAAACACAACGCAAACGTGGTATATCTCCGGTCGAGCCGGCCCATTCGTGCCAAAGCATGGCTCTCCCACACTTAAAATATCGCCAATCTGGTCTATATTCTATACATATATTTATTTTAATATATGACCTTGTATAAACAACGATATAATTATATTTTATAGCAGTGCTTAGACTTTTATTGACTCAATTTAATAAAGACATTAATACCCGCCTCACACTCAACACACACGAACAGGTTACTGCTATTTAACTGCCCTATCCTTAAAAAATATTGAAGTCTCCTGGCTGATGAAATGATGATGATGAACCAAACTCGGTTAGAAGTACATTATCATTATTGACTATAGCATATTGTTTCTAATCTCATTTTTACGTACCGAGGATGTTCCCACGTCTATCGTATGAGTGTTCCGGTCAGTATCAACAACATTTCCGCCCCATGACCGTCCATGTGATTCATTAACTTCTTTACTAATCACACCATTGAATACACATTAATAAATTATATCAGCCTTTTTTGAGAGGGGAAAATCATCCAATGACTTCTCCTCCCTTCGCCAGAGGGAGTGTCAGACTCTTACTAACTAAAAACCACCGCGCTCCTAGTCCTACTACTAATATCATAAAGCTGAAGAGTTTGTTTTTTTGTTTATTTGTTTGAACGCGCTAATCTCCGAAACTACCAATCCGATTTCAATAATTCTTTTTATCGAGGAAGGTTATAGGCTACAAAACATCACGCTACGATCATTACGAGCAGAGCAGAGCGGGTGCAACCGCGCGGAAGTAACTAGTAATTTATATGTTCTGTGCTCTCGACTAACGATGATGTCTTATAAAATGTGTCTAATAATAAACTTAATTACAATTCTGTTTGTACGTTTTTCATGTAAATCTAGGTGTTTGTTTCACTGAAGAATTTGAAGAATGTAATGTGCGTATGAATGAGTTTATAGTTTTTTTTTTATGCGTTGCTAATTATGTAGGTAGGTACCTAATTTATTAATGTTAACGTACCTACCATTGCATTTGTTAAAAGAACTACGATGTAGTTTTTTGCTCTTTCTTTTCAATACGAAACTAGGTTCAGTTTGAAATGAGTATTTAATTTTCTTCGCTTTGTAGACGGGTTGGAGATTGGACATGACAGATTAGGGGAACTTGGAAAGATATTTGGGAATAACTTGCGCTTATCCGACCAAAGTTTTGTTCACTTTTTTACACTTTTTGTACAACACACTACAACGTCGGATGGCAGACTTAATGTCTAGCATTCACTAATAGTCAACCTTGGGGTGATGCAGAAAGACATAATAAGTAGTAGGTGGACGAAAGTTTTCGTTTCTGTTAGGAAATAAAAAATACGTGTATAATGATTTAAAAGAATCTACCAGACGGACATTAAAATAAAAATTAGGCATCTACCCTATTCAATATCACAGCTCGCATAAGTCTCACGTGATCGTGAGACGAGAGCAGAGAGCATTGTTATAAATTATCGCGGGAGAAGTCATAGGAGGAAAGTTATAGCACTTTATAATCCGCGTCACGTGTTTGAGAGCGTTGTTATTGTCTATTATCATTTTACTAGAAATGTGATAAAACATTAGTCATTTTCTTTGTTACGACATGCTCTCATTGATGGTCAGAGGTCGATACGCATGCGCCTAACTATTATTTATTTATTTATTCGTATCGTCTTCTTTATAGGGCTCTCCCGGATAAGTTACGTCGATTTGATAAGCTCTTCCTGGCGTTTTTTTTTCAATAATATATAGTACTTGCTTAGGTAATTGTGTGTGGAAGATTACCTATTTTGATTACATTCTGACAAATCTGAAAGATAGTTTCAAACTACAGCCTTAAAATTAACCTTTTTTTTAAGGGGGGAAAATCATCGAATGACTGCTCCCGCCTGGGTGAGGCGGGAGGGAGTGTCAGAGTCTGACTCTGACTGACTAAAAACCAAATCACCCCGTTCCTACTCCTGCCCTTCACGCCGGAGCCCCGGCAACCCGTTAAGTCCTCCGCGGCTCCGTATCGGCATCAGGCCCATTGGGCCTCATCCGTGGTGAACCTCCAACTCACCTGCCCAGCGTGGACATTATGATAGGTACCTGTAGGTGTGTGTAGACAATGTCAATCAGTGCGCAAAAGGCGGACTTTGGAAAATAATAAAAATGAACTACAATTTGCGCACATTGTACGATATTTACGGATAGTTCAAGTTTCATACGAATTTGTATTTCGCAATATTTATTATAGGCTTATGTAGGTTACGCACGATCACCCACGGACCGAATACCGATAAATATCCAAGATTATTATTAAATTACGTTCAAACGTATTACTTCTCAATATAAACCTCCGCAAATCGATCAAATTCTATATTTAATACCAAAATATATTTCTTTCACGTATTTAAGCGTAGGAAGACATACTTTTACATAGTTTTATACAAAAATAACTACTTAATAATAATCCGCCTATGTAAAAACAACTAAAAATATTTTCTAACTTTTGACGCAGGACCTATAAAAACCTTATAGTATTTTTGTCTACAGATTATATAAAAAAAAACATCAAAGAGTTCGCGCCATAAAAAAATTAAAAACAAAACCGGAGTTAGCAACAGACTGGCCTTTGGGATCATTAAAAACGAGATTAAAGGTGAGCGTACATCTGTAGCGAAAGTATTAGCAGCTTTTTGGACATTATTTTTTGGTAAGAAAACCTTCACATGTCTAAAATTGTACTTTTTTGGGGACTAATACCTTTTGTGAGACTGTAATGTCCCAAAAGGAGGCTGCTGAGCGGGATCGTGAGAGGGCCGATCATGTTAATTCAAAAACACAAACCTATGGGGTCATGGGGGCATAGAGCGGGGTATCTAAATAACTCAGGGAATATGACGGCACAGTGGTCACATGCCGCCGTGCACTGCACAGAGAGGTTCTAGGTAGACTTAGTAAGAGTCTGACACTCTCTTTCGCCGTACACAGGGGGATATAAGGGAAAAAGTCAGCCAATGACTTTTTCCATTTCAAACAAGGCTACCTACACAAATATAGGTAAGCAACTATCCTCTATAGGTAGTACGTAGAATGAACAAGTGAACTGAATATTAAACTGTTCAACATTGAAAATCATAAACAAACAACATTGAGATTCTATACTTCCTTGCAACTGTGTTTTCGAAAGCTTTCGACCAATGCCTGTTCGAACTTGGAACAATAAGTAGTCTGTCATACTTTTCCTTCAAGACATCTAATGAATACAGAATAGTGGTATTTGTTGTCTATGTGTCTGTAACTTGGTACAGTCTGCTTAAGAATCCATATTGTATATATCTCCTTATTGAAAAAAAAACATTTCAAAGTTGAGTCAGTTATTACGTAAGTTTTTCACAAATCTGGTATACCTGTATCTTCAGTTCTGTATATAAATTTACTCTGCGCTGTCCGTTTAAATATTTCTCATCGATAAACATAAAAAAATATAATATAATATAAAAAAATTGTATAAAATAATATTACATTTTTTATTGTTTAACTGTATAATGTTTTGGCTTGTGCTGTAAAATTATACACGTGCTTATAAATAAATTGTTATCTCACTTCGCTTAGTATCCGACGATCTTAAAAGCATTGGAAAATGCGAATTCTAAATTTAAACGCAACATACCAAAGAGAATAAGAGTTTATAGTCGTAAAAAGCGCATAAAGTTATCGCGGATCCTTTGACTCTGGTTCGGTCGGTATGCGAACCGATTTTGTGATAGGCTTGCGAAGGCATTTCGCCGATATCTTTGCCTTTTATTTGACTTTTTAAAAGCTTTTACTCCTTAACCAATGGCGGACATTTAGAATTTAGATGTTAGTTTTATGTTAATTTTGTTTTGAACCTTATTATTAAATAATAGGTATTTAAATGCGATATTTGTGTATTTGTTTTGATTGGTCAATGCAAAGGATTTGTTTTTAACCGACTTCAAAAAAAAGAAGGAGGTTTTAAATTTGATCTGTGTGTATGTTTGTATGTTTGTACTTGTACACGATTATCACGAGATTGGCTGAACCGATTTTAATGCGGTTTTCTGAAAAAAATTGTTTCACTCACAGAACATATAAAGGAGGATAGAACGGCCTTGTGGGCGGTACACGCGTGCCGCGGTTATGAGCAAATGCTCCAAATCTACCAAAATGTCAAAAACCGGCCATCAAACGCAATGTTGTTGTGACAGCGTACGAAACTCCGCAAATAATATTAAATTATGCCGTCTTGGACTATTGTAATGTGTCGGAAAAGAAGACAGGTGTGCAATGTAGCACGAGAAGGGATTTCTTTCCACCAGTGACTTCAAAAACATTAATATACTTGTGATATTTGTAATTATAACATTAATATTATGACGTTTCTAGACAAAAACGACATTATCGCAAGCAGTATACATTGCTTGCAATAGATACGTACCGTTTTGCACTACATAAACGATCGCGCAATGTATTACGTTCACAACGAGAGTCCCGAGTATCAAATCAAAACGTCATTTCCTCGAATCGATATAGAGAAGTGTCAATTTGTAAACAATGTCGATAATTACTATGATACAAAGGATTATTATCAAATTATACACATTATAACTAAAATAATTTTATTTATTACGACTAATTATGAAATAGGTTTTAAGTGAGGCATTTTATTCGTATTTCAGTTTTATATAATTTTTAAGAATAGCTATGTACACTTGATGACTTTTCTAGTTTTCAGAGCTTTTAGAGCTGACTTAATTTACGTGAGCTAAATATTGTGTTGGCCTGGAGGTTGCGGCGCTGTTTCATACAACTTATACGTACTTTCTAAGTTAATTTGCACACCACTCACATTCAGTAAAGGAAATTATGTAACCGAAACTATATAATAATTCCTATTTATATTAACTATTAAAGAAAGACTATGAGAAATTCTTAAAAGCCAGCCGAAATTTTAGTCAATAATTTAAAATAGTTGTTGAGGTTTTCTATTCGAGAACAAAGCTATGACAACAAATAAGATGACATTATATCCTGGGAGCGATTGTATTGTACCTTTTTTAAGAATAGCTATGTACACTTGATGACTTTTCTAGTTTTCAGAGCTTTTAGAGCTGACTTAATTTACGTGAGCTAAATATTGTGTTGGCCTGGAGGTTGCGGCACTGTTTCATACAACTTATACGTACTTTCTAAGTTAATTTGCACACCACTCACATTCAGTAAAGGAAATTATGTAACCGAAACTATATAATAATTCCTATTTATATTAACTATTAAAGAAATACGAACGACGATTATCGGTTGTCATCATACGAATGTCATGATGATATCTAACAGAGACAATAACAGAGTTTTGAGCACAGATTAGATATATCATGATATGGTTACGTTATGATAATTCTCAATATTTCATTATTTTATGATTTTTCATTCCTTAGGGAGAAATTACGCTATTTTTTATATATTTTGAATTAAGTAAAAATCTATTATTTTTGACCCCATGACTTCCCAGACTCCTTTTATTTTTATAAAACTTACAGTTGAAAACAAAACAAAATCGAAATAATACCTTTTCGGGTTTTTATACTTTTTTGATTACTACCAATCAACAATTTACTTACCTCTGTCAAATTATTTTAATGTTAATAATGTAATTGATTTTAAAAATCAGTTATGTATTTTTCTATGTATAGTTATTTACATTAACGTAAATATATGTGCACAATATGCCTTATACAAATCCACATAGTCCACAATACATGCAAATTAAGAAGCTAGATGCCATTAATTTTATCGATATCAATAATCGACCTTTCGCTCCCTCTACCATATATGAGTTTTTTACGCCTGTATTAGTGTATGTCAAACGAAGTGATTGCGTCAGTGTGACGACCAATAACAAATCTTTTAACCTAGTGCGTGTTGTTTATTTGTGTGCATTTTCCGCGTAGGTATTGGTCTATTGCTTGTAGTAAAGTTAAAGAGTGGGGGACAAACGGCGACGCGTGTTCTAATACAAATCAGGAACTATTTCCTTTCTAGCCTTCTTTATATGTTCTGTGGTTTCACTTAAGAAAAGGTTATATTATATTAATTAACCGACTTGAATAAAACAGGGAGTTGAACATACAACAACATAACATCACGCCTTTTATTCCCGAAGGGGTAGGCAGAGGTGTACTATGCCACTGTACAATGTAACACCCACTTTTCACTATTTATGTTATGAGCCCCATGTAATAGGGGTTGAGCCTACTCATATACCGGGCACAATTTCAGACTCCGTACTGAGAATTTTTTAAAACCCCAGTAATATTTTACCCGGCCCGGGAATCGAACCCGATACCCCTTGCCCGGCAGTCGCACTTGCGACCACTCGGCCAACGAGGCAGTCAAGGCAAGAAACATGTACATATAAGTACACGCCCATATATCACCACGCACCTAATTGTGAAAATAAATAAAATAAATTCTTTCCTTTAACGAATATGACACCTACAATTTCAATTACAAGCCGCAACTAGACAAACAATCAATAAAGACAAACTAATAAGCATTACTATTAATTAAAACATAATAAACAAGAATAATTATGATGTAATAACATAATACCTACGTAATTGTGTACGTTTGTATCGGGCCTACAGTCCTATGCATCAATAATATTTACCGTCACCCAACGTGACCATCGAAACTGCAACTAATCAGTAATTTCTACGAAACACATACAAACTATGGTTTTATCAGACACGACTATTTGCCAAGGGGTCAGGGGGAGCGCGCCGGTCAAACAACAGACCACTTCACAATTCACAAACTTTACCGTATTTAGAACCTATTAAAAATAATCACAATTATAGATAATAAACAGCAAAGCTATGTTTGCAGGCGAAAAAAAATATTGACATCAACATCGCCCTTATACACTACGAACAACGAGGGGAGGGGCGAAAAAATTCATAAATCGAACGGTAAATTTAATGTTGCGCAGGAGTATATCATTTGAATTGTACGCGAAGGAATATCAGTTGTGTCTTGGAGACGGCGGGCGGCGGTCGTGTGTCCCGACGGATAATTAAAATTAGTGTGGTGTCTGTTAGTGCGATGAAGTGGTCGATATTTGTTTGTTTGCTCGTGTGCTTGGCGAGTTTCTGCGACGGCCTGGGTAAGTAGATACCTTATTTTAATCACCAGTACTGGAGAAGCTTTCAAAAATGAATAAAAATATGAAAAGTGATAATCATTAAAAAAGAGAACCAAAAAATTGGTACTCATTTCTAGTGTTTATCTTTCTTTTCTTTGATTATAAATGGCTTTAATTGTGTTTAGAGTCATAGGTTGTGTCAAAGGGCATGAAATCGTTATTTCTAACGGACGGTCAAGCCTGGACACTCCTTTATATGTAGTGACTAAACTTGAAACATTTTGGCCTTCATCACAGTTATTGGCAATCAATATTCTCAATAACATTGATATAAGATGTAGGACATGAGTGCATCTCTGGGGGATTTTTGTTCACACCTTTTTCTCTTGTTAATAAGGGTCATTTTATAGCGGAAAAGTTAGATATTTTAATGAATGGAGCTATCGCTTTTCCTCTGTACTTGGAAGGGGCTGTCGTTTACTTTCTTTGACCTGCAGTTTCTTATCTTTATCAGGTTTTTTAAAATGTATAATTTTTATTAATATTTATAAACGATGTTTAATCAAAATATTTTTATGACGAATGCTCTACCTATTTATCTGGATCTTTGTTCTACTTTCATTGTATGTTAGTGTTAATTCGTTTTTTATGAATTAGTAGTTGATGGAATGAATAAGACTGTCTCTCGATTATGGGATTTCCATTTAAACTGTCAAACACCAAGCGGTCACCGGTGACCGCAACCTATTGTTCTATAATTGTGTCTGTATTGACGGTACTCGACGAGTTAAGGGCTGGACAAATAAGATATTCAGGCGTAATGTAATTTTTTCATTGTATTTGTACCCATTTTTTGTCAAACTCACCTTTAAATTAATATTAGAGCGAAACCTCATAAACTTACAACTCGTTACAGTCCATTGTTGAAGTATGGGCCTCCTCTACACATGGGTTAGCCATAATCTCTGTTTGACAGTCGATTTGGTGATCATATTGTAAAAAGTTCAGCAGCTGTAGCCAAATGCCATTTAGCGCTGGTCTACATGTAGAATAGAAAACCAAATTATATGGAATTGACGTATATTTTGACACTTGTCAGTGTCATCCCCATACATTTTGATTTCTACTCTCTCTGTAGACAAGCGCTAAAGTGGCATTTGGTTAAAGGCACAGCACCCGTAGCCAAATGCCACTTAGCGCTTGTCTACATGTAGAATAGAAAACCAAATTATATAGAATAGACGTAAATTTTGACACTTGTCAGTGTCAACCCCATACATTTTGATTTCTACTCTCTCTGTAGACAAGCGCTAAAGTGGCATTTGGTTAAAGGCACAGGTTTATCACAGAGCGCTTTTGCCCCGGTTTTTGTCAAATGTTGAATAGTAAAATTAAGTTCAAATGGAGTAACCCGTAACCCTTTTATTAAGTTGTTTCATTAAAGAAAGCTACATTACATGATGATGACGATGATGAGTATCGACGTGTGCTTATCATGTTCAGACAATAGGGTAGTTGCCTGAATTTTATTTTAATGTCCGTCTGGTAGATTAATTTAAAACATTAGACACGTATTTATTCTCTTCTCACAAAATCAAATACTTTCGACGATATATTAATCTGAAATATCATGTGACGTCATAATGCGCTACATTTTGTATACACATTTAGTTTGCGTGACCACTGACCATATTATATGCTACAAGGTTCTTACCACTTTAAACGCCGTGGGGGTCACCGGTGACCGACGTTAGAGGAGGATTTGACTTCATCAGTTTTCTATTGGCAGTCAAAGGCTTAAAAAGTTTTGAAAAATATTTTAATAGGAGTTTCATAACGCAGCACTGGATTCTTACGAACTATTAATGATGATCATTGCCTAACTAGCTTCGCCCGCATCCCCGAAGGATAAATAGTAACCTATGTGTAATTCCAGACCGAAATCTATCCCTGCTCCAAATTTCATCCAGATCCCTCCTACCGTTCTTACGTGTTTTTTTTTACGTTGCCCCACACTGGCATTTTCTCCTGTGTCGTGGGTGCGTTTACAAACATACAAGTTCACGAATACATGATACCCAGACCCGGAACAACAATCTGTGGAACACACAAAGAATTGTTCCGTGCGGGAAACGTTGCGTGTCAGTCAAACAGATTAAGGAACAAATAGACACAAGCTTACAAAGTTTCGCATTTAAAATATAGTAAGAACTAAGATTTACATAAAGTTGGTACCTCGTGCGTGATGCATACATGATAAGACGTGTATGGTAATTATCTAAACCGTCCCTGTTCTCGTGGAGTCGGACTATCCAGTGACGATAGCAAAGCTTAGTTCCGATAACTGCGGTATCAGCGCGGATACTGAGCCATCGCGGGATTCCGGGGCCAGGGATATTGTTTTTAAAATTAAACCTAATTGTCGTCATTTAAACTGTCATACACCAAGCGGTCACCGGTGACCGCAACCTATTGTTCTATAATTGTGTCTACAAAACCGGTACTCGATGAGTTAATAATGTATGGAATTGGGTACTTACCTTAATCAAAAATAAGTTATTTCGACTGTTCAATACAATCAAATATTAAAAAATAATCACACTTTCAGTAATTGATTTTATTACCAACTTAATTTTAGTATATTTCCAGCAAATTTTTTAAGAAATAATTACACTGTTTGACTGTAAAAAAACTTTACGTCACAATACACAATCTCACTACAAAATTGATAGAAAACTGTAGTTTTTGACAGCTCGAAAAAAGTATTGAGTTAGTAAGTACCCAAAAGTCAATTTAAACTGTCAAACACCAAGCGGTCACCGGTGACCGCAACCTATTGTTCTATAATTGTGTCTACAAAACCGGTACTCGACGAGTTAACATGCTTTACGTAACCAATATTATGGATTACTAGCTACTTCCCCTGCTTGGCTTCTTCTTGGCTCCTATTGATTGTAGCGTAGCGTTGCCAACCGTACTCTAAAAAAGAGTATTGTCCTCTGTATCATGTAGGCGTACTCTGTAATATCTCATGAGCTGCGCGACGTCGCCGCGACCGCGCACGCTGCTCATGAGGAAGAACCCCTCTGTGGTTCGAAACTAGTAGAGCTTTTTTCAGTATATTCACGTGAGTAACCCGTGATTTTACTTAATTTAGTATGTCTCACGATAGTTATTATAAAAACATACAAAATTATCCTCCATCATCGAGAATTTCACAGAAACAGTTTCATAAAATTTTCTGCGAGATTTTTCGGTGTCTACCTACAAGCGGTTACCTTTAAAAATGTCAATATGAAGGTATTAGCACAGTATTAGACTAGTCGCGAATCAATTTGTAGCTAACTTTATGTAGGTATATTCTTTCTTTTGCACAACATGTCATAATGTGTATTATAATGTAATTTCGATTTCTCACCAGTATAACTAAGTATGTTAAGAGTTCCATGTACCTAAAGACGCTTATAGAGGAGTTGTAAATTGAAATAAACTATGAACTTATTAGGAAATTTCCAAAAAAACGGTTGAAATGAAAGATTATTGTTGGTCGGTACTTAAGTAACGTGCGAGCGTCATTTTAGTTGTTGCTGACTTTCATAGGTTGCTTACTTTCTATAAGGCGGCGTCCATGGAGGTATTCCTCGCGCGCTCCCGTTTTGAAGCGCTCCCATCTAAGCGCTCCCGTTTTGTTCCTCCAAGCGCTCCCATGATTAACATTCGGACAGAGATGGGACTATTTGAGCTTATGAGCTAATTTGCCATATTCAGTGGTATACATCAAAAGTCATTATGAGTATCCTCTTCTTCACGCTTGGTAGGCGTGTTGTAAATCGCTGTTAAGAAGTTTCAGGTTTGTCAGAGAATACTGCGGCCTGGCAAATGTGTAGTCCCATAGTTGTCTCTTACGACATCTGCAAAATAAGGGTTGTGTAACGTTGTGTGCATTCTGCTGTCACCACCTGCATGTGTGCAATAGTAGATACAAATAACAGAAGTACTTTTTTTAAGGAGGGAGGGAGTGTCAGACTCTTACTGACTAAAACCACCCCGTTCCTACTCCTGCACTTCGAGCCGGAGCCCCGGTAACCCGTTAGGTTCTCCGCGAATGGCAATATAAGTGCAAATTGCAAAGTAAATAAAAAAATTCTTTAAGTTTTATTGAACTTATACTTGTTTGTTGTCATTTATTTTGGATTTACAGTTAAGTGTTTGTGGGATTTTTGTCGTTTTTAATTCTAAGTAGGTAATAAGTTGTTCAGATTCAGGCAAAACTGGAATAAAAAAATGTTCAATGAATTTATTTATATTTGTTTTAAACATTACGTCCTACGTCACACCGTTATTACAGTATCTCAATTCACAAGAAGTTGTGGAACTTGTGGACTGTGTAGATGATGAAGGAGATTGTCTTTACCGAAGAGGAGAAAGACTCCCTAAAAATGATGGTGCAATTACATTAAACAGTAGTTTGGGCAGTCTAATGATTGCTTACTTTTTTAGGGCCGCTTTTGAAATCATCAGTTAATTCTTACTTGTCCAATAAAATGGACATTTCAGTTTTTAGAATGGAATAATTGCCAAATATTTAAAGTTATTTCTCTGTTAAAATTTAACTGGCGTTGGAACACTAGTACTAGGTACTTTTATAGTGTAATTAGACATCATTGACAAACAGTGAAGGAAAAAACATCATGAAGCAACGTAGACTTATAGACTAATTAAAAAAGGTAGCAATCACCATTCCGCATTAAGCAAGCCTAGTGATCAATGCTCATTCCTTTTCTTTATGAAAATAAGGTTATGCAAAAGCAAAAGCATTGTTAGCAGTGGAACTGTTACAGGCCAAAATCGATAATGTTACCCGCGAAATTAGACATTTAACTTTTTTAATAGCATAAGCCGGTAAAGGAGCAGACGGATCACATGATGGTAAGCAATTGGCGCCGCCCATGGACACTCGAAACACCAAGGTGTTACAAGTGCGTTACCGACCTTTTGGGAATTGGAAATTTGATGATTGT